GCCACCTTTAGCAACTAGAAGGAGTTCACATACGTCCTGAACTGAAACAGCTCTTCACTTGGTTGCATCACAGTGTCTCAAGTGCTGAGAAAAAATGGAGAATTCAAGTCTTGTGTTCCATACATACTAGTTACCAGTAGGATGTATGACCTGGGGCTGATTTCACAGAATCACAGAATTCTTTAAGTTGGAAAGGATCTCTGAGATTATTGAGTTCAACCTTTGACTGATCACCTTGTAACTAGCCCTTGTTAATTGGACTGTTAATGTTAATATTTCTTAACCCTGAAAAGCTATAAAATTGAGAATGATGTGGGGACACACTTGGTTCTTGCACCACTGGTATCTCAGATATCCCTGTTTTGTGGGTCTCCTGATTTGCCTGATTTCTGGAAGTAAATACATAAAAGTAAAGAAACATGAGGTGAAGAGAAGAGCCACAAAAGCAGTTCAGTGCTGAGAGGGTCATTGGCATAAACAGTGCAGTTCTGACACTGCAGGTCTCAGTGATTGAAACAGAGGAGGACAACAAGGCTCCCTGTTCCTGCCTATAGATTTAGCAAGTGTAATACTCAGTAAAACAAAGTACTTGTATAAAAGTATCTATGATTCTGGGAAATATGATGGGAAGAATTACAAGATCTGAAAAGTTTTACATTAAGTTCTACTTTGTGACATATATAAACTTTTTCAGCTGGTGGAGCACCAAGAAAACTATTAGATCCTCAGCAATGTAGATATTAGACCTAAAAGTCTGCTCTTATACCATAGGGGATAAAAAACCAAATCATGTATGTCATCAGCTGAAGTCAGCTGGGTCTAATAAACTGTGACAAGTCAGGACAAACTCTGTTCCTGAAGCAGTTTTTCCTTGGAAGGAAATATTGAAGATCACTTGGCTAAACTTTATGGGTAAAACATCAGCCAGTGATAGCAAGGAAGCATTGGCTAACAGAGTTGTCCTCTTTGGAAATAAACACATACAGGGAGATGTGGGAAAGAGCCAATATCCCTCCAATGAGGCAAAGAAGATTTATTATATTCACTCTCCCATTTCGGGAAGCAGATGGTTTCTACAGTTAGTCTTGTAACTGAGGATGTTTAGAATGAGCTGCTTCACAGGAAAGAAATGAGGGGGAACAGCATTAGTAGGAGTTATGTTTGCTAAGCAAATACAAGGCAAAGGCATCTACTGTAGCAACTGAAGAGAGGAGCTAAACCTTCTGGGATTCATGTGCACACAGAAGAGCAGCTAATTCGCTCCATAGGGCAGGAGCAAATGGGTCACCTTGCCAAAAGACACAATTCAAAGTCTTCCACAGACACAATTCAAAGTCTTCCACAGACACAAGGAGGTATCATTTAAATCTTCAGAACAATACAGTAGTACTTATTTTCCACCTCATATTACAAAGCAAGCAATTACAGTCTTCACTAGCTGGTGTTTCTAAATGGGGTTCAACTCTCAAAGCGCACAGGAATATTTTCCTTAAACTGTCAGGAGTGTCTTACTCTAACATTTTAGAATCAGCCTAGAATAACTGAATTCAGTTTCCAGCTTATGTAAGAGTTAATTTTCTCTCTTTCTGTGCAAGTTCTACATTGAGCTACTGTCACAGTGCATGTGAATGAGTCATGATGATTTGCCCCATGTGGTCATCTGCTAGAGGCAACCGGAGGAGAAAAAAGCAAGCCCCAAAAATGCCAACACAACTACAACTCCCACACCAACTCCTTCTCTTTTGTACATCATTTATTTTTACTCATCTTTAGTGAAAGAAAAGATGAAAACCACACCAAAATGGAACATGTAACACCTCAGGGGTTCTAATGAAAGCCAAACTATAAATGTCAACTATTGTTGTTTTAGTGTTAGAACTAGCAAGCTCGTACAACAAAATCCAAGTAGCAAGTCACTGGAGGAAAAGTGATGAGAAAAGAAAAGCTGCTTATGTTAATTAAACAAAGAAAATCTGCCTGACAGACAAGAACAGCTTAGAAACAAATGAATTTAAAATATGTATCTATTTCTTGGTGTTCCCTGAGCACACAGATAATATATGTGCTCACCCATTCAGTCTTAGGGATTAAAGAAATCACTGGGCATGTTGACTAATTCCAGGGAAGATGATCTTTAAAAACACAAGTTCATGCATGTCCACCTGGTGTTGTGAATGAAGTTCTGGAAGCAAAGAATAGAGATCTTACTTGTACTTGTTTTGAACAGCAGGATATATCACAAATTAAAAACCTATTACCCAAAATAGGGAAAAAGATTCTGCCAGACCACACCATGAGGCACCAAAACCTAATGAAGAGAAAACCCATTCATCAGGCTCCATCAGTACTGCTGCTCACTCCTTAGTGAAGCAGTGAAGAAGACATTTACTAATAGTTCAGGTTCTCCTCCCAGATCCCACAAACTCTTTTGGCAACTTGATCCCTGTGTTGTAGGAACCCCATTGTGAAAAATACTTTATGTCAAGAGTCAGGTTTTTATTAATTTAATTTCTTCTCAGACCTGAGTGGATAACCAAAGGAATGGGTGAATCACATATTCTTTCAAGAATTCATTTTACTTCCTTTTATATTTTCTACTAATTGAAATTAAACTTTTTTTTTAGCAAAGCCTTCAGTAATGACACATTAACTGTGTATTTGACATAGGCACACATTTAAAGAACAACTGCAGCATATTTCATGGTAATCATATTAAGAATAGTTACAAAGAAATTTTATGTACTTACCATTGTAAAGATACTATAATCTGAGACATTGAAAAATATCACCAGAAAAAAATAATCATACATAACTTGAGTAGAGTCAGTCAATCACCAAGACTTCTAGGTGATTGTTTGCTATTGAATAAACATCCAAGAATCTCCAACTCATAATATTATCACAGAATGCTTTTTTATTTTTCTGAAATGACAAAATTAATATGGCTGTTTCCAAGTCACAGTTGTTGGTTTTATTTATTTTAGAGCAGAGATTTCCAGTGTAACCACACAGGACCAAAAACTTGATGTACAGTGGCATTTAGTAATCTGTTACAACATCCTGCTGTGGCCATGTGAATCTCCATTTAGGCATTGCTGCTTTATTAATCTTACAAAGAAAAATGCATCATGATAATAAAATTGTTATAATCAACCTGAATGACAACATAACAAGCATAGTGCAGGATAGCCACACACACATGATTCCTCTGCTCTTATGGAGTTGTGATAAATATAACTTCACATATTTGTACAACATTTTACTTACCACTATAAGTGCTAATAAGTGGTAAGTTTGTTTTAATTACTTATAGATACCTTTTTGATTGCCTTGTATTTCTAAGATATGTATTCTTTTGTGCTGAATAATGCATCAATTACTACAAACCTCATGAGCACAGAGTACTTCATGAGATTGTCTAATAAGCATATAAGAAGCCAAGGCTCCCAGCCATTTTTTATTTTCCAAGATATTAGACTTCTGATGGCATTGGTATTCTGACAATGATGGACATGACTATTAAACAGTTGAGTAATAAATAGTGTGCCTAACAGGACTAGGGCAGTAGCTAAGGGACAGTAAAGGGATATTGTAGAAGTGCACAGTGGGAGGAGGAGTGGAATAGGCTCATATGAAGCAGTGGCAGAAGAAGTGGCAAAAGCAGTGGTAAAGGCCCTGGATTTTGAAATTCTTCTTTTGCCAAAATGATTAATTAAAAAAAAAGGCATAAAAAGGAACAGTTTCAAAAATACATGAAGGTTATTATCAGTAACAAAAAACCAAAACATAAAAAATCAAAACCAACAACAACAAAAAAACCACCCAACCAAAAGAAAACACCTAACCCAAACATATTTCAAAAGTCTGGGGACAAAAAGCATTTAAAAAGTAAAATAATTTTGAAGAAGTGGAGATGCTCTGCATCTTTCCTTCCTGCAGCATGGTGAGTCCATGGCAAAAACCATTTTGCACCACAGAGTCTCTCCAACAGGTTTTCTCTCTCTCATCCACCAGACTTGTCTGCTCATCAGCCTCAGAACCGAACCTTTATTCATGATCAGTTTTCTTAGGCTCTCAGAGAGAAAAATGCAAAGAGTGCTTAGAAAAGAGTTACCTCCCAAACAAAGGTGAACTGGTGAAAAAGCTAATGGTTAAAAAATCCCTATTACAAAAACACATACATACCTCAAGACCCAACTACTTTCACCTTTCAAAGTTTGCTTGAATAAAAATTCACCCAGTGTCTACAGAAGTGAACCACCTGTTACTTGGAATCCAGGTCAGTTTTTATTACTAGATTATTTGGAACACTTTCAATCATGTTGAATTCCTCTTTGCATTGTTAAATGAAAGAAAATTGAGCTAAATCACTGTCTTGTACGAGTCAGTGCTGTTAAATTTAAAAAAGAAAAAAAAAAAAGAAACCAAGCAGATTACCAAGACTTAATATTACAGTATGTGGTTATTCATGATTAAGCCTCTGTCTGAGAGAAGGAATCCCAAAATCATTTAACACAAGCAACAGGACACAGTAATAGCCAATTATTTAACCCACAGTCTCTTTGAGGATCATCTAGCTGAGTAGAAAAGCCATTAAGAAAGTTTTGCAGGGCATCTTCCTCTTTGTATTTCCAGGTGTTTTACTACAGGAATTCATTTGAAGCAGAGCTACAAGCCACTTCTGGAATTAAATATACTGTTATTCATTTCACATGTGTAATAGTGCAATCATCATTACATAAAGGGAGCAATAAAAGTGAAGGGTACATTTATTTACTTTGTATTTTCAGAAACATCATGGATTTCTTCAGCTATATAGAGCAGTTGAAAGGATAAGCTCTATATCACCAGCTTCACGCAGTGCTATTTAAGTTGAATATGTAACAACTGCAAATATCCAAAGTCACTTTACAGCCAGCAGGTGAGAAATACCTACCATGACAGAATTCAGATACTGTATATTTTCATCCTTAAAGATATCAATATATTCAACCCCCCTTTTTTTAAGACACTTCAGTCTTCACTGTCTGTAAATCAAGACCCAGAAGAATTGCAAAACTGGAGCAAATTCTGGCCAACTCCTTTTCTTCACATGAGTTCCTTTTCTTTCAATACCAAGAAAATTAAAAGGAATAGTTGAGGCACAAGTGATTTTTATGCAGAAGTATAGAAGTATTTAAATAAGTAGACTAAAACTTCAGTATTTATCTTTTTTTAAAAAAAGACATAGATCATAGGTATATGATCATAGTCATAGATCACAGTCACTGCAGTCATACTGGATTGCTTTTTTTTTTTCCCCCAAGATGAAAAAATACACTGGTTCACAGAACTTACCAAATCCACTTTATACTGCCATTTCACATAGTTCATATCTAATCAAAGCAAAGTACAAACCCGTGCTTCAAGGGAGCCTGAAATCATTCTGCTACACCTGACAATAAACGATTTCTTCAGCCAAGAGAGCTTCAGTGAGCCCAGTAATGCAGAGAAGAGTCCGTCCAGCTGAACTGACGTAAATGGTGCTTGCAGAACTTAGCATGAAAGTGCACTGGCAACAAGCTTTTGAGAATAAGCTCATATCTTTAGAGCTTGTGCTTGAAACTACTTTTACAGCTATGGTTATATTGTTTCTGTTAAGAGGCACTGCCTAAATATGGAGTTATTCATCTAATGCACTTAGTATTTCTCAGATGAGGACTATTGCAGTTTTTCCCTATGTCTAGGTGTGATAATACTTTGGTTTGCTTTACAGCAGTAGCATTGCACTAGCAATACAGCTGATACTAAAGAGAAGGCTGAAAACACTTGCAGACTGGAGTAGAAAAACCCCAATCTCCTCCTTTACTTCTTTTCATGCTTCTTGGTTAGTTTTCCTCTTTCTAGTTGGAGGCTTGTACCGGTGTTTGTCCGCTTCTCCTTTTGCTGGCTCTCCTGGGAAACTTGTTGCACTGCTCGGAGGATGGCAGTCTGCACAATCTGCTTGCTGGCAATCTGCAGCTTAACTTCATCTTGCTCCAGCCCTGGCTTCTCACCTGCCAGAGCCAAACAAAAAAGAAAAGGAACTAAGAATTTGGGGCTAGTCCATGAAAACGTGAAGGACAGAAAAAGAGGAGGGGGGAAGCAAAATCACAGAGTGACTGAGGACAGTTTATTACATAGGAAACCTGCCAATACTGAAGAAGATAAATTAGGGAGGAAAGTGCCTGTGCGTGCTCAGCACCACAGGACTGAAAGAAGGGGGAGATTTTGAGTCATACAGCTCAATTACCCACTCCCCAGCACTGGGGACAGCTGTAACTTCACAGCTGAAACAAAAACAGATGTGTTATGCAGTAAGACAGGAAAGGAAGGTTTTCTCATGCAGCTGTGATTCACATCCATTTTGTCTTGAGCTATGCCTCTGGATAGGGAATTGGACTTTATTTTGCAAACCTGATATGTATTCCCTCACCACCACATAGAAAAAAACAACTGTTTCATTAACATTTCTTTTATTTTTACTTCAGATTAAAAGCCCTCATCTATCAAATCCCAATTGACTTCAAGGTACAAGATTTTGTTTAGGGTAGCTTTTTAACCCTTAGAAAGATTTTCAAAAATATCTGCAAAACATTAAGAAATACTCAGATTCCTGTAGGTAAAACAGAGAACATTTTCTATGACAACCTGTCAAATAAATATTTTTATGTGAAACTTCCTTGTTTGGCTAAAGTGTTAAAATTTGGAGAAAAATGATGTAGTATGACTACTGACATCTGGTAATGAAGAAGAGTAGTTTATGTTAAGAGGTTTGTCTTTAAAAGTATTTTGACTCCTGACAAAAGTGGCAATTTGGACAATATAGAATAGTCTGTAATGGTCACAGCTGATACTGATTTAAAAAAAGAATTCTTACGTGCACTTATTGGCATATAGGAAATCAGTTTCTAATTGAAATGGTTAGCCTAGGTGCTACTGACATCACTAGATTTGATTTTAAAGATGCTCATCTCAGTTCTTTCTTAGTTAACTGTTATGCTCAAGTATTTCATTACATAGGATTTGTAGTTTACTGTCTGTTTTAATTACATATATTAAGAATTGTATCCTGAGAGAAATCAAACAGAGTGAATTAAAGATCAGGTGCTTTTATGAGAGGTGCATATCTGAAATTGTGATGAATTCCCAATGTTCAGGTTTTTTTCAAGGAAACTTAACATAGAAAGAAAAGAATCACTTGTTTCCTTAGGGAATATGCTATATGCTTGAGGGAAGAGACAAGGGGTCTTGCACCTGGGTCAAAGTAATGCCTAATATCAATGCAGACTGGGTGGTGAATTTATTACCAGCAGATTTGTGGAGAAGTACTTGGGGATACTGGCAGACAAAAAGCTGGAACTAAGATGGCTTGTAGTCCAGAAATGTATGCTGGTCTTTACAAAAAGGGCATGGCCAGGAGTAAAGGGAGGTGATTCTACCCCTGTGCTCAGCTCCAGTCAGACTCTGGTGTGCTGTGCCCAGGTCTGGGGTACTCATCACTGTAAAGAAAAGTAAGAGGTTAAAGCCTGTGAAAACATAGAAAAAGTGTTTTAAACTCGAAAAGCTGACTGAAGAAATCACTTGAATTCTTGGCACAGTCAGCTTCCCTGATTCAGTTTTTTCCATTCCTCAGCACTTGAAACAGTGTGGTTTTGGACGGAATTAAATGTTATTTAACAGATCAAGTATAGATAGTTCTTTACTACTCAAATATAAACTCACATTTTATCACACAACTAATTAGTCTTCTTGCCTGGCTGAAAAAGATCAGTCAACACATCTGATGTTCAGGAGATAAATTATTAACAAAAGCAGGGATAAACATAAAATTCTAAATGAAAATGAATATGTTGGAATAGACAATGAGGTTATATGAAATGTAAGAAATTTTCCAATCCTCAAAGCCACAAACCCCCAGAATATATAATTGAAAACATACTGTGATTAGGCACATTGCTGTTGAAAATTACTCAGTTTGCTCTCCTTAGGGATGCTTTGTTATTTATTTGGTCCTTGCCAATTAATCTACAAAGTCTGATGTTTAAATATTTTTACTTTAGAAAGGTCATCCATAGCAACAGTCAGTTGAACAAAAAGAGATTTCAAGTGCATTTCTCTCTGGGCTTTTCAGTTGTTTATTCAGGAGCAAAACCTGTCTGAAAGCACCACACAGATAAGTGAGATGTAGAGTATGTCTGCTCAGCTCTAAGTCATTAGATGATTCTTTTATTTGCTGAGATAACCAAGAACAGAGAACTCAAAACCTCTGGACTACCTCTGCCCAGCCTCTGAGGGTTTAGGTATGCACAGAATGGAAATGAAGCAGCTTGAATAAACTTAATTAATATTTGTGTAAAATTGTTAGGATGATAGCAACCCAGATAACAAGAGATAATTGGCTTCAGACACAGAGAGAATCAAAGTTGTTGGCCCGGGGTGATGTGAACAATGAGACCATTGGCAGCTTGTGTGGACCATCTAAATTAGAAACCAAGTGAAAATGATAGTTATTTTGGAGGGTGATATCTGACACTGTGTTTGACCCAGGTCTGAGCCTGTGTTGGGACCATTATTTGTAGGAGCTGGACTGCCAGAGATTTCAAGCAGTCAAAAACAAACATCCAGCTCCCCTGGGTATGTCGTACCTATTACAGCTGGTCCAACAGGACGGGATCCTGGGCAAGTGGTTCTAGATGACCCTGCTTGAGTAGGAGCTGGGCAAGATGACCTTTAGAGGTCCCTTCCAACCACAAACTACTCCATTCCTGGGATTTTAGCTGGCTAGGCTGCGATAAATCACAACTTTTCCACTTCCTGAACGAGTAAACAGCAGTTTCCCAAAAAAGCATCCCCACTACCTCCTCTTCTTCCAATTATTAATTTCAAGGAAAGCAGTTGGAAAGTTTTTTTCTGAGAAGCTCATTTATTTATTGATACACTGGACCTACTCTGAGCAAGAAGAAAGGAAAGCAGAGATGACTCATACAAGAATCCCAAAGGGGCTGAGCTGGAACATATCTGTGTCCACCTTGCTGAAATAGAGACTGCTGTGGACATCCAGGCAGAAATTTGAGTACCTATAGAATTAATTAGGCACTTTAAGAACTGCACTTTTTCAGTCAAGTGAAAAAAAAAAATACATAGCTCCTGCTGGCTAAGTGTTTCATGTTTAGCTAATCAAAATGAGAGTTACTAAGATGATAAAATATAATTCTTTTTTACCTACCATTTTTTTAAGATTTGAAGTATAACTGTTAAGTTAAAATTCCATGACAAATATGTCATTTGAAGTAATTTCTGGGAAAAACTTGAACAACATCAGAAACACATGCAGCCTATTAGTTTTCCTTCTCTAAAGACTACATTTTCCTCTTGAAGTTAGAAAATCTTTACTTGTTCTCTATCTTTGGATGCTTGTCCCTCACACCCAGGACCCCAATTCTGTAAATAAAATACTGAAATATCTGGGTTAAGGGATGTTAAATACAAACCAGCAATTTTATCATCAACACATGATGAAGCCTCTTTAGCATGTTTTTATTATCTTGTGCTACTCTCCATAAATTTTATGCCAACTAACTCAGCAGATGAAAAGTAACTTTTAAACACTGGTCTGGTTCTGCAATCCAAAATACAGTTTGAGAGATCCAAAACACATCAAAATCTTGGACTGGCTGCAGGAGTCAGTCACATATTCCATTTCTACCTAAAATTAGAGGCATGTATCAGTGCCTTGAAATTGGCTTGCTTGAGGATGTTTGCCATGAAGGGAAATATGACAGAAGTTTGGAAAAAGAATAAAAATATTTGAAGTAAATTCCAAGTATTCATTTCAATTAATAGAACTAATATTAGTTTAAGTCTAAGGACTCCTTGCATGTAAGACTTTACATCCTCTGAGAAATTTCTACACTATTTAATATTCTAGAAAGTTATACATGGAAAAAATACACTAAAGAGAAAAAGCATTTAGAGATCAAATGTTCAGGAAATTTACTCTGGTTGCACATCAGCCTTCTCTCATTTATACACTTCATTTTCTTCAAAGTATCCTGAGTCACTTCCTTTCTAGCCTGCAATCAAAGTAGTCTCCCACACTTTCTGTTGATATCCCCTGGGGCTATTTCCTTTCAGCTAGCTAGAAGTTAAATTTATTTCACCTTTATAAAAAACTCCTAATAAGTAACACTCAATAATGGCTGATAAGTTTGAATCAACAACTAAGCTCCCTGCTGTACATTTTCCTAGGATTATTTGGAATACTATCATGAAGGTAAACTATGACAGGCATGATCTTGCAAAGATGCAAGTCTATCCCAGATCCACTAATGCTGTCAATAAACAGTGAGGAGTTAAAGACCTTTACACTCACCTTTCCCCAAAGCTCGTAACGTTTATTGTTCCTGTATGTTGTATAAACCACTTTGAATTTTAACTGTATCTAAAAATAAGAATAAAAATCACATTTCCCTAAATAAACTGGTCAATTTAAAACTCAGAATTACGCATAATGCATTCCCCTGTTAGCTATAATTTAAATTTATGCAACAATTCTGAAGCTGAAAGAGCCAAGAAGTAAATATATTTTTTCTTCAAATTTACATAAGATTATACAGGTATAGTCTTTAACTAAAAATTTACCATTAGTTTTATCAATATGTTGCTTTGGATTGCAATAATTAATGATTATTCTTTCCTGCAGCACCGCAACATTAGAATTAGTTTTTAAATAAGAATTATTGTTATTACTATTATTAATTCAGGAAAAATGAAAATTTTAAATGGAATGAAAGTATAAATAGACAAGACCATGATGATTTTACTTCATCAGAAGGTCCAGTGTGGATGCATGGGAGCTGTGCATACAGCAAAAAGCTGCATGTTATTATGTAAATCGTGTTTATAAACTACAGATATTGAAAAACCTTACAGAATCTGGCAGGTTTGTAATGACATCATGTATGTGTGAATGTTGTAACAATTAACATTAACATTCTTTGCATCAATATTGATA